GCAAAATGTAGAAACTTTTTTTTTTATTCTTCAATTTTTATCTCTATTCATCATTTTGGAAGTGATTATAATAACACAGACCATTCGATTGCATATTGTTAATCCCGCATACACGAAATTAAAGCGTTTGTTTTCAATTCGGCATTCGGTAGACAAATTGAAATGATTATGCGCAAAGTCAAGGTGAGAGAGTTCGCCTTTTCGGCGCTGAATAAACTCTTGTGAACCTATTTTTCGGGCGATTTTTTCTCGTCGTTTTGGTGGCCGGGCAGACTCCGTCTGCATGCATTAATTGCATCCTCCGGGCGCATTCATTCCTTCTCTCTCGCTCTTTCTCTCTCTCGTCGAAATTCGGCTACGGCCCCCCTTCCCCCCCATCTCTTGCTGTTCGCCCCCCCAACACACCGATTTCAAGGTCTAACTGCCATTGTCTAATCGAATTCTTTTACTCAGAAGAAATTCGAGCCGTGGATGCGGCAGGGTCGGCTGGACTTGTCGGGACATTTTAATCCAAAAAAATCAGCAGCTATCTTCGATAATAGTAGATTATAAACCCTGGGATGTCCTAGGTCCTAGGCTAAAGAGGAACTTTTAATCCTGATGCGAAAAGTTTGTAGCCCGGCCGGTGGAAAGGCTACAACTCGCTGAGGGAGTGAAATTAACTTTAGTCCCGTGATTTATACAGGTTGATTCATTAAGAATGGACAATCTCTGAGCTACAGATATGAAGATTAAGCCCAGCATGGCCTATAAAATTGTTGATAAAACAATTCTATTTTAAAATTCCTCGATAACTTTGGTCGCACATATACTTTAAAATGTTCTTTGTGTTAGTGTTATTATTGACTGGCATGATCAATTACTGTTTTTAATTTTCAGTGTCACTTCGAAAACATTATGATTCGAAATGATAAAAATTGTATGGGTGAAGCATTGATCTTATTTTCGAGAGCAAATAACGCAAAAACCGTTAGAGCTAGACAATTTGAAAATTAGTACATTTTTTATGTAATATTGATAGGCTTTCAGGTTTTCAACTTATTTCAATTATTATTCTATAAACAAAGATGATATGATGTAATTTGCTGAAGTAACTGAGTGCAACTAGAGCAATCACAAAATAAGTCACTAATTCGTATTTCTCAGGTCAGAAAACCTGAAACTACAAAATTGAATTGAAGAAGCAATAATTCAATTACATGATCCACGATCATCATTGAATTTCCTTGGTAAGTATAGATACCAATCCAAATTGCGGTGTCATTGGGAGTGAATCAACAACTTCTCAACTATAAAATAGTAGAAATTCAGTATGATTATACTATATACCATTATCACTGATAACAGATATTTTTACATCAGTGATTCAGTGAGCACATGAAGGTTGGAGCAAATTCGTTATGGAAGCTTAATATGGCCAGTGCGGAAAAAACGCTCAGTCACGTCGCTTTTCTTTTTCAGTTGCGCAGTTTTTGGTCTACTCATATTTTTGACGTCATCACTGTTCGAGCTATGACGTCATTATATATTTTTTAATGGCAATATCCTATTCTGATGATACCTTCAAAAAGATCGCATGAATTTTTCTTCATTTTGTCTCATGTTAAATAACCCAATTTTTGATAAATGAGAGAGATTTCATTCGAAGTACTAGCATTTATAATGATGAAATAATGAAATATATCAAAAAAAAAAGCTCAGACGTACAGGGCTAGTTTTATTAATGTGAACCCCTCTTCATCTTTTTTGTTTCACACTCATTGAAAAAAAATTAAAGCTGATTTTATACAATTCTTCATACAGATTTCACTCATATTGACAATGATGCAATATCTCTTCAAATATACAGGGTATAGAAAAAATATATTTTTTTCCAATGGAATGCGCCGTATATTTTGATAGATCTGGATTCCTCAAATCATCTTGATTTCAAATATATGATATGAGAGATTCATATCTAGCAAAATATACAGCGTATTCCATTTAAAAAGTATATACATATATTTTCCTCGATATTTTCCCTGTATATTTGAAGAGATATTGCAACACCGTCACTATGATTGGAACCTATAAAATAATTGTATAAAATCCTTTTTGTATGGGTGGAAAACAAAAATGATCAAGAGGGGTTCACATTAATAAAACTAGCCCTGGCACGTTGATTGTGATTTTCAGATTGTTGGTCTACTCATATTTTTGATGACGTCGTCATCATAATTAACATTATTATGAATGAAATCTCATTTATCTCCCGAAAATATAAGGTAATGAAAAATGAGAAAATAAAGAAAAAGTATGACGTCCACACAAAAAATGCTTTTTTCTTGACGCTATTATCATCAGAATATGGCATTGCTATTTTAAAAATAATGATAATGACGTCATTATGCGCGACTGAAAAAGAAAAATGACGTGTCTGAGCGTTTTCTCCACAATGACCATATAACGAATTTATTCCAACCTTCACGTGCTCACTGTATAAAGATATAGGTATGTACATAATGTACAACTTGTTTGATTCTTTAGAAAGTATTCGGTATATTTACTATTTGAGAGTAAAATCATAGACTACAGAAAAAATCCAAAAGAAATTTCTGTGAACAATGTTTCACACTATTTGATCAGTGAAACTCGGTGAAACTGCAAGGAATTTTTACTCATTTTCCACGTATCAGAATCTATCGATAATACATTATTGTAGGTGAAAATGGTATTATAAGATTAGGAATTACTATAATGATTAAATGTACCTAATTGACAATCAAGTGTTTCTTCTTTTACAAAGAAATAGCACTGTTCATAGTTATGTTGGGTATTGTATATATACCTATAATACGAGGTATAACATTATATATACCTACATATTATGAAATTTAAGGATGGGTGTGCTATAAACAGAGTCATCAACATATACGGATTAAAAGATTAACTGTTAATCCAATGGAGTGACAATTATTTGCTCATCATAGTTGCTAAATATTAGAGTGAACATATATCAGAATAGATGAACATGTATTTAATTTAAATGGATACCTTTCGATTCATTCTCAGAAATTTTGATGACATATACCTATTGGCATAGGACACCTAGCAAAAAGAAACCCCATTAGATTTATCGTTATTCCTGTTTTTCTTGGTTTCTGTAGATAATACACAATTTCCAAGATATTCGAATTTATAGAAATATTCCTACACGGAGAAAAAACTCCAAACTGTGATATACCTATTGGCAATGGTTATTTTCAGGAAGATGATGGTTAAGATTTTGAATATTTAATCTGGTTTCTTGTTCTGTTGCTCAAATGAATCGGCCCCAAATACTCAAATTGGTCGATTGTATAAAAAACATGTTCAGAATTCGATGCGGAATCCGAATAAAAAACTAAAAATAGGTGTTCGTTCGTTATCTATTTAGGAGTCACACTATGTATGTATGTATGTATATGAATTTACATCAAGAAAAACATCAATCAAAATTAAAAATCGAAAGATCCAAGCGTTTTTTCACAAAATAAAACCCTGAATTTTGAATGATTTCATTCAAACCCACGCCATTTCACTGTTATATTGAAAATCTCGCAACATACGTCAAGAAAATATTGAACTCTCATTGTTTTTGATTTTTGAGCATTTTTCAATTACTGGGCCCTTTTTTACAGATAACAACATTAGGTGCCAAAAACTACAATTCAGATCCTCGAGCTTAACCATAACTTCTATATAAGAATAGAAATTCTAGATACACGGAGAACAAACTTCAGTTTCATCCTACCATTCCTACCTTCATAAATTGACTTCATTTCACCTGGGTTCAATGAAATTTGTGTTTTTTTCTTTAGAATTGGGTAAAGCTGTGATTGTTTTACTAATAATATGGATATTGAATAAATATCGAGATAATCATCATATAGGTATGGAAATTTTGGATAGGAATGTTACGATATGAAGAAAAGTAGTATTGTGTTGATATTCAGTGTCATTCCTAATTGACAAGAATTCATTATTCACCGAAATATGAAATCATAATTGAGTAGGTACGTACTATTGCTTTTTAATCATAATCAAGTTCGATAATCGATTATTTCAAATTCAGTAATGAAATATATTTAAAATTTCAGAAACAATGAATATTATAACAAATTAAGCCCTCTCGACGATAATTAGATCAAGCTCAAAAACCGATTCGAAACATCATCAATCATCACACCAAAAACAACCAACACTTCTCACAATAATCAAGAAACCTTCACCCGCAACAATGAATCCCAGAAGATTATTGAACTCCCATTATCGCAAACCTGCAAGAAATCGTAAACAAAATTCCCAAAAAAAACGCTCGCTGTTTTTACCGGCTAGGCAAATCCAACTCACCTAGAGCGCACAGCAAACTCCAAAGTACGCGGCGTTGGCATCATAATCCGAAAGCGAAATCCACGTTCAAAAATGCAGCTTCTTACCCCCTACCACCCCGAACGCATTAAATCCGGCTTTCCTATTGGCCGACGGCCTGCCGACCGGCCTATGCGAACTCGCGAAACTTCACGTTCACGCACTCTTGGACCGCCGAAATCGTCAAGACACACCGGGCCGGAGCAGTATCCCAAACAGTTTGGCAACGACAACACGTTGAGTTCGTTTATCAGTGCGCCTGTATTCTGTGACTTTCGTATGGAGTGATTTTGTGTGTACACGAGATATACCTAACCTCGACAATGATTGTGTGCGTTGGACTAACATTCACGAATAGTTGTGACACTACGCAATAATGGGCTAAACAGTACCGTTAACAAACTTTTTTTTTTTAATTTTTCGTTTATATTTTTTTAATTTAGACAAAGTGATGCAAGTCTCCAGCAAATGCGCTTTCAATTTTTATATAATATTGGACGTTACACCACATGGACTCGAGACTTTTGAAATGTTATGATATTCAAGAAGTGACCGTTGTATTTTTTATTTTTCACGAACATTTTTTGAGTTTTTTACAAACTTGATGTGCGATGGCTAGCAACAGTGGTGTGCAACAGCAACAGCAGTACATGCAACAGAGCAACAGCCCATATCATTGCAAAGAATGTGGGATCTCTTTGAATTCGGCAGAGTCTTTGGAAGTGCATTTACAGTACCACAAAGAAAACTTGCTGAAACACTGGGCGATACAGGCTGCTTCTTCGCATTCCGAAGAAACCAACAACAATACCACCAAGGCGAACATGAAACGTGAGTTAATTTCTAATAATACAGTAGCAGCAGCTGATAGCTCCGATTCCATGCAGAAAAAAAGCCCCGAGTACAGCAGAGCTACTCCAGACACTATTTTCGGACATCCTCCGACTCCTCAAAGCTACCAAAGTGCATCTTCCCCCTATCAAAATAACGACAACTCGGCTTTCTCCCCAAACTTCCAAAACTTTCAAATAAAAACTGAAAGAAATTCACCGACACCCCAACAACAATCCCAGTATCAAACCAGCTATGCCAACTATGTCGAACAGCAATACTTCCCTATGGAATCCAGTCAAAACCAACAATTCAATCAGGAACCCTTTGTTCACAAATCTTCCGTGTACAGGTATCACCCCTACGGCCAACCCCAGAACGGCCCTTACGAGCGACAGTCGCAGGCACAGGTGTCCTCATCGAGTCCTGCTTACCCTCCGCAACCAACCCCATCCCCTAGCCCGAAACAATGCGACAAGTGCGGCTATGTTTGCGAGTCCGCTTCGCAACTCATCGAGCATATCAATATCGCTCACCCTCCTACCCCCGCACCGCATTTAGTTTCCTACCAGCCCAATCAGCATTTCATGTTTGAACAGCATCAGATCAAACAAGAGGATGCTGCTCAGAGCGAAATTTTGGACCTTGACTCGCACAAGGTCGTGCATAATGTTTACTCTGAGGAAGAAAAACGACAAAACGGTGATCCCAGCAACCCACATTCCGTTTCTGCTATGTTGAATTCGTGGTCACCACCTCAACAGCAAAATGCACAGCAGCAGCAGCAACAAAAGATGTTCCAGCAGCAGGAACAAAGAATGTTCCCCAACGCCCCCGAACAAAAGATGTTCCGAACAAACATTCCAGATAACATTCCAGAAACCAAAATGTTCCAATCGGAGCAAAAATTGTTCCAGCCGCATCAAATGCACAGCCAAGAGTTCGTTGGCAACGGAGTTACCACCACAACCCAAGAAACCCCCGGAAACGGTATGAACCAACCACCCCAGGCGTACAGACCGTTCGAGCACATGACCTCACCCCCGAACGCCTCTGTGATATCGAGCACGCAAGTTCCTACCAATCCAACCCAACCACCATCATCAGGAAAAGGCGCCAACTGGAAATCGAACGAAGCGAGGCGGCCTAAAACCTACAACTGCACGGCTTGTAACAAGTGGTTCACCAGCTCCGGGCACCTGAAGAGGCACTATAACACGACGCTGCATAAAAACGCTGTGAAATCTAGCGGTCATCCAGACCCGGCTTCCTTACCAATCAGCGCCCACCACCACCCTGCTAGAGATAATTCGTCGAAACACGAAGATAGGCCACAATCGAGCAGCTCCGGAGACGAGATCAGGGGCGATGAGAGTAACAGCATGCCCTCGCAATACGAGAGGCTAGGCGCCATGCCGGGCCTCCTTCAACAGCCCCCCAATGGTCCCTACGACCGGCAACCGGCGCCGAATATCCACCACACGACGCCCCTGCACTCTCCCATGCCTCATTCACCTATGCCTCAGCACCCCAGTCCGCTGGGCAACCCCCTAGGAAACCCAAATTTATCGAACGGGAGTCCCCCAAACGGGGAGGCAGGCCTCTCAACCAACAGCCTAGATTCGAGGGGCCTGCTGTCGCTCAGTTCGCCGCCAATCAGTTCGGGCCCTACGCCTCATGGGTACCAGATGCCACCCCAGCATATGATGTCAATGGAGAGCAACCAATTCCAGATGTACCCAAACGAGTTGGCCCCCCACGTTACGCAGGCTATGGCTACCAACAACCTCAATACTACTGGTGAATACCAGTTCGGTATTCAAACACGCCTAGTCGAAGAAAATCAGCCGCTGCCGAGCTTTGCGCAAATCCAGGCGCACAGATTCAGCATGCTTGGCTATGATATAGCGAACGTGGGGGGTGTGGGGTCGGTAACGGCCCCCTACACTTTCTACTCTGATGCAACGGATGCTGCAGAACCTAGGACCCTGATGATGTACCGCCCTGGCAGCGAAGAATACAAGCTGACAGAGCTAAATGCTCCAGAATCTCCCCAAGACGAATTCATCCTTGGATATTCCCCAGCACCTCCAAACAACAATAATAATAACAGCGGAGAAGACCTCAGCATGATTTCCTTGAGTTCGGAGAACGACTCCAAAATCATGGAAGAAGCCAAAATGCAGCTGATGGAGGACATAAAGCTGAGGTTAGAGGCGCAACCCAAGTCTCCTGAGAAAGCGCACATCAAGAGGGACTACGAAGAGAACAGCAGTCCCCTGATAACCTCCACGGTCATCAACAAACCTGGCTTGCACAAATGCTACGATTGTGACAAGATGTTCAACAAAGCCTGCTACCTCACGCAACACAACAAAACATTCCACTGCGGGGACAAGCCGTTCAAATGTACCAGGTGCGGCAAAAGATTCTCCTGCGATGTCACCTACCAAGAGCATCTCTCCAAGCATGCTGGGGACAAACCGCACAAATGTGAACTCTGTCCCAAGCAGTTCAACCACAAGACCGATTTGCGGAGGCATATGTGCCTGCATACGGGCCAGAAGCCATATGCCTGCGATACCTGCGGAAAGGGCTTCATCAGGAAAGACCACATGATGAAGCACTGCGAAACACATATGAGGAAGACGCAGTCCAAGGTGGCGGCCATCCGTTGAGGGACGGCAGCATTTGTGTGTACGTAGAAATTAATTGTTTTGTCACTCGGCACTTTTTCTACTTAAATGTAAACTCTATTCAAAGAATATTTTATTATATTTGTACATATTATTTTATATTTGATTTTTAAATGACGATCAAAGGGATGAAAACAGAGTAATAATCGATACAAACAGAAGAATTGCTCAAAGTTTAATTTTTATAGTGTCCGATAATAATCAATACTCAAACAGCAATACCTCAGAATCTCAGTTATTAATATAGAAATATTTATATCAGATTTTATTATAAATATCTTGTGGATGTACAAATTCTAGATTCAGGTTGACAAACTTGTATGATATAAACATTAACAAAAATATTCTTCCACTGGTGACAAATTTTCAGCAATTGAAGAATAACCATTGAGTTTAAAATTACAGGGTGATATTTTCGACTGCTTTTTTTTTAGATTTCAGATTTATTTTGAAAAATTTAATGACCGGTTTTCCGAAAATTCAATCGAACTCTAATCAAGCCATTATCATTAATAAGCTGTGTTCAACTTTCCTCTTCGTACCGTATTCTGATAGAATTTCCGAAACAGTTTAGGATAAAATAATAACTTTTCCTACTGAAAATAATGTTGACGATATTTGAAATATTTCTTGGGGAATTTATTTGTTATTTATTTTCTTGTTAGCAATTATTTTGCAATTGCACCAATGAAATTGAAAAAATGTTTCCATAAAAAAAGACTTCTGATATTTCGATAAAATGCTCAATTCCAGACTGAAATCACTTTCAACATGAAATTAGATGAGATTAATCCTCGCATAAATTATTCATAATCTGTAAAAATTATGTTTTATTCGCTACTGATTCAAGTAATTCAATCAGCATTATATAGACCATGCCAAAACAAGTAACTGTATAAAAAGAAACTAAATCGTCAAAATATCGAATCGTTTTTTTTTTGTTTTTTATCATAACATCGAGCATAACATTAATTTATGATATTCCATGTATAAGTTGATTTTAGTCTAGAACTGAGCATTTCATCGAAGTCAATTTTTTATGAAAATTATGTGGTGACATTGCATACATAATTTCTATAGCAGATAATAAGGTGAACATGCAAAATTAAATTACTTTATCTCATACTGTTTCGGAAATAATGGTAAAGTCCCTACCTACTTCAGGTGAGCTTCCTCAATCTACTTACAAATTATTGCACGCCAATTATGGGTCATCCTGTATATGTGAAATCTCGTGTGAAATTTATAGGTAATTTGAAAATATTAGTAGTTTTCAGGCAAACATATCTTCTGTATTGATTGCTCATTGAAATACGAGTTGAAATACTACACTAGATCTTGCATTATAACGTTAAGAAGTTGTAAACTTGTCAGGTAATTATTTTGGTAATTTTACAGAAAATAACTGAGATGGTCATGTCATATTTTTCCAAATCTCAGATTCATAGCATATAAAGATGCAGTTAGGTCCAATTTTGTGAAATTTCATTTCGTACCTACGTCGCAAAACGTATATTTTAAATATATTTAAATCAATGTCTTCATCAAATAATTCCTTTTCTGCCATCCAGGTTGCCATAGAGGTTTTAAGGTTTTAAAAGACGTTGCTCAGTTGAAACCGTCAAACTGTACCTACATTGAGCATAATATTATTTGAAAAACTTATTATTTATCATATATTTTTCCTAAAATGAAGTTGATATTATATGTATAACGTTTGCTATTGACATTTCAGATTGCATAGGAAAAATTTTTAGTATTTTCTTCTTTGTTTTCGAAAATTGAACTCAGCAGTACTTATAGCTATTTGGATTGGTTGGAGTTCAACATTTGAATTTTCCAACAAGTGTTTCCTCATAATATTCTGGTGATGAAAATCCAAGTAATTTTGTTGAAGAATTATAGGATATCTATCATGATGTGAAAACAGTGAAGAACATTTTATTTTCGTACTGCGTAGGTAGGTAAAGTTTTACCGTTGAACGAATCTCGCCCTGTATAAACTTCATAGTAATAATACGCAATAATGTTACAACGCAAGTTTTTGATATTTGTTTTTATCTATAAGATGTAATAAAATCGTGGGTATATGTGTAAATAATTTCCGTTGATATACTAGGTGATATTGTTTTTCCATGACGAATCTACCTCAGTTATGATGAATTTATGTGCCAATTTTGTAATTTAAGTTCCAACCCGTAAGTGAAAAGACGGGCGATTTTTTTAGACAATTCACGTGCCAAATTCTCCTTGCAAAACTTTGCTGTATTTTTCGAAAAAAGTATGTCAATTTTTTGCCGATTGGGCATTCCTAAACTTATAACGTTACTATATTTAGTGCAATTTACCTATTTTTAACATCGCTCTTCGAAGGATTGTTTTTGTGTTATGCGACAAGTTACCAATAGTTTGAGGACACAAATGAGTAAGTTAAAGTTAATTTTTCCTTTTCAAATTACATATCAGGTGCGGCAGTTCCACTTAATTCGAGCAATAAGAACGTTGTTTATTTTGAAAACTATTTACATTTGCTTTTAATAGAATAAATATTGTTATCTAGGTACACTATCAGAATATATTTTGCTCCATATGAAACGACGAACAGAAAGTTTTCATAAACTTTCTGGGATTATGTTTGGACGAGTATATTTGGATAATAATAATATAGAATAATGTAACATTCATAATCATGTTATTGTTCTAACATAATTACGTCATAGCTGTATTTCCATGATTGAAATATTATCATTTATTCGTACTTAGCTGACATCTGTATTTTCCTCGGTATTTTCAACTAAAAATTGAATCTATCCAGGCATTGACAGATCCTTATTATGAGAGATTTTTGCAAAATATTCAAAACAAATATTTATATTTTCCTGAATTTTATTTCATTATATTTATGTCATTTTATAATGACTTATGTATGAATACCTTTTAAACATGAAATTGACGCAGAAAGTTTCAACGTCATTATTTTCTATTTTGTATTATGTAATTTGATGTTCGTTTCTTTTTTCTATTTCTCAAGAATAGCTGACTATTTTAGAAAATTTGCAATCCGATTGCAATTTACCAGAACGAAGACGTATATAAAAATGTTGATTGAATTATAAAATATTGATCCATTCATGAAGAAATGAAAAATTCAATAAAGAGGAATAATTTTAACAGACTCATTCTGTGTCAGTGACTATATGATTGTTTTGTTATGTTTATATACTTGAATAATAATTATTGTCGGTGTGATTTTCATGTTACGTTCGAATTGGACGATAGCTCTCTCGTCGATTGATTGCAGAGAAATATTTTTGCTGTGGTTCTCGTTCTTGGCCCGTTGTCTTGATTATTTATACATTATACATATTGAAGAAGAAGTTATTGTGTATCATTTGTTTAAGACTGATTGTATATGTAGTGTTTTGTTTATATTTTTGCCGACCTGTACATTTTTCTTGGTACGTTACAGCTGTTTAGCTTTTAGGTTTTAAATGTTATGTTACTCTCTTACCAATGACACGAGAATAAATATAGATACTTATTATATTCTTCGCATTTTTTATAGTTTCCTTCCAGGTGCATATACTGAGTGAATTAATAAACATGCCAATACGCTCGCCAGTAGGTATACAGGGTGTAACTAAATGTTAAGATACAGGCCCTTGAAGGGGGGTACATAAAATTTGTTAAAAAATTTTTTTCACAAGCACTGGAAAAGTTACAGTATTGAAATTAACCTGATATTTTCTACTACCAAAAAGACACATAGCCAGTAATTTATTTGGTTTACCCCATGGTTGTAAGTGGTGGAAAACGCATCCCCTAAATTTTATTTCCAATGTAACTTTTTGTCTTGTTATTTGTTTACCATTTAAAAATGTATTTGCGATAGCCTGTTTCATTCTAAATAAGAATTGTTTCTTGAATTTTTTGCCCAAAATAAACCATTTGGAAGCAAAAAATTATTTTACGATCAACTATACAGAGATACATCGTCATGAATGCAAACTGGATTTATTGTCATTTTGTAGTTACTACCTGCGTTAAATGATTAAAGGGATTAAACGATCAATACTGTAACTTTTTAAGTGCTTGTGTAGAAAATTTTCAAACAAATTTTATGTACCCCCTTCAAGGGGCTGTATCTTAACATGGGATGCTCCAATAAAGTTTCTTTATATGAAAGATTCTATCTTCTTTTCGATGAGGAATCACCCCTTAAATATTTTACACTTATTTAGTTAAACCCTATATATGGCTATTTTTTGGATCATTGGTACAAAAACTATATAGAATTTGAAGTACAAATACGTGTACCAATATGTACAGGGTGATTCACCATAAATGTCCCCCCCTCTAGCTCAGTTATTTTTGAACCGATTGCAAAATTTTAAATATCATCTAAAATGATTTTCGATAGAGTTTTTGTCCCCTACATCATAAAATACAAGGTGTTCGGAACAAACGATCTACAGGGTACTATTTGATTTTTTCAAATAGAACACCCTATTTTCCATTGTATTTTTAGATTCCGAGTTAGATTCTCTCTGAAGAGCTGATTTCATCAATGTATCACACTTGGGGTCTAGCGAAAATGATAACAGAGATATAGGGAGTTCAAAATCGAGATTTTTCAACTTTAGGATTTTTCTGTGACGAAACTATTCATTATCGGTCAAAACGGCTTTCATGTCCGTATCTTAACTTTTGATTTACTATCTACTGACATTTAATAATTGAAACAGATACAGGGTGATCAGAATTCTGAATCTTGAACCACACTGTAGATGTTCCAATTAAATGTCAGTAGATAGTAAATCAAGAGTTGAGATAGGGACATTGAAGCCGTTTTGACCAATAATGAATAGTTTCGACACAAAAAAATACAAAAGTTGAAAAATCTCGATTTTGAACACCCTATATCTCTGTAATCATTCCCGCTAGACCCCAAGTGTGATGCATTGATGGAATTAGCTCTTCAG